TATGTAATATTAACTATCTTTTTCACAAAAAGTAGAGTTTTAAACATAAACAATTCATTACTGAGTTATTAAAATTAATGAATAGTTCTCAAGTATCAGGTTGGTGCAAAAGTGATTGTGGTTGTGGGCCATGAATTTTAAAATTATAACAAGGCTCAGACACATCTTTACTAATCAAAATTGGAACCATTACAATCGACAAGAAATAACTGTTTCTTCCTCTAGCATAAAAACCTGTGCTCCAGGATTCCAGGAACTCTTGGAAAGCAATTTTTGCATCCTGCTGGTTGCAGAAGTGTTTTCCCTGCAAAAAGTTGTCAAGATGTTTGAAGAAGTGGTGAGAGGCCAGGTGAATGTGGCAGAAGAGGCAAAACTTTGCAGCCCAATTGGTTCAACGTTGGAAGCGTTGGTTGTGCAGCTGGTGTCACTGTGGAGAAGAACTGGGCCCTTTGGGCTGACCGGTGCTGGCTGCTGGGGTCAGAGCTCTCAGTGCTTCTCACCTACTTGCTGTGCAGACTTCCCAGATGTGATGGTTTTGCTGGGATTCAGAAAGCTGCAGTGGATAGGACCACCAACCAGTGACTGTGGCCTTTTTTCAATGCTAATTTGGCTTTGGAAAGTGCTTTTGGAGGTTCCTGTCAGCCCAAGCACTGAGCTACCTATCATCCGTTGTCATATAAAATCCACTTGTCATTGCACTTCATGATCTGAGAAATGCTTTGTTGTTGAGTAGAGTAAGAGAAGATGACGCTTGAAAACCACAATTGTTCTGATTTTCCCTCAGTTCACGAGGCACCACTTACCAAGCTTTTCCAATTTGCTTCAAATACCAATAATCATAGAATGGTCGACGTTGAGCTCTTCAGCAACTTCTCATGTAGTTGTCAGAGGGTCAGCTTCGATGACTGCTCTCCACTGGCTGTTTTCAACTTCCAGCAGCTGCCACTATGCTCCACATCTTCAAGGCCACACTTCTTGAAGATTCACTGTACATTCCTTCCTTAGCAGTTCCCGGGCCAAGAGCACTGGTGATGTTGCCAGTTGTCTTCATTGCTTTACGACCCATTTTGAACTTGAATAAGAAAATCACTAGAATCTGCTTTTTGTTTAACATCATTTCTATAGTCCAAAATAAACAGCAAGTAATAAGTCACTAGCAAAAAAAGTGAGAAATGTACATTAACATGATTAACCTAAACACATTAATAAGAACGTATTCCAGTATTGAATGGCAAATTTCAACCACAATGACTTCTGTACCAACCTGAGGCCATCGTGAGGAATTTCTCTTATTTGGGAAATGAAAGCATAGACTAGGTATACTCTGTCATACGTAAGGACTACACCCCACTTACTTTGTGTTCTGAGGAGCTTCCGGAGCCCTTCCCCTCTGCTTTTCTGTGCTTGGGAACGGAAGAGTCTTTGTGGTTGCTCTTGGTACTACTGGCACTTTTGAGAGGGTCCTGGCCACAGCCATCTGCTTCCCGCTTTGACCTCTTATGTGCAGGCTTGGCTGACTTCTGGGAGGACGAAGAGGAGGAGGACAGGGGTGGAGGCGGAAGCATTTCCTTCTTTGAGGGCTCCGAGGAGGGCCTGGGAGTTCTGGAGTGAGACAGGGTGCAGAACCAAGTTGAGGCAGAACGTGAATCAGTTGCACAGCTTAGCTGCTCGGTTATACAGGACAAATTGGCCACAGGCACAAAGGACTGTACATGAAACTGTGTTGTAATAAGGCTGAATTTCAGGGACTTTCTCATGCCTTTGAAAAAGTCTATCCCATCCATTATTCATAAATGAAGTCATATAATTTTTCACCAAGCCTACAGAGTCTGCCCATGGTCCTCACATTCCCTAACTGGTCCTAACTCTTGCTCCAGGGGCTCACCCTCCTGTACATCTGCACGGCAAGCATGCAAGCCTGGCTGTGCGCTCCACTCTGACCCTTCTCTCAGCTCCACGTCAGGATGCTATGCACTTGTTTTTGCCAAGTCATTTTGTGAAGCAATTTATTGAATAAATCAGAGTAAGAATAAAAGAAAAAGAATAGCAGAAAAAGAATAGCTGCTTTTTCCATTTGCACTGTCAGGCACTACCACCTCTCACCTGTCACCCCCCGGCCCCCCAGGGTCCTATAGACTCTTACTCATCTCTAAAGAGAATAAGGAACACAGGCTCTACCACCCATGAAGAACTCTCTGACTTTAGCCAAATAATTTTATCTCTCTGTTGCCAATTCTGCAAAATGGGGATAATAGTACCTTTCTTATTTTCCTTTAGAAAAAAATATAATTCTATATGTTTAGAAAATTGTCCATAGTGAAAATGCTTCCGATAAAGTTTGCGGCCAAATGAAAAATCCTTAGGGATCACAAAAACAAACTCAACACATCACCCAAATGAGCCTTAAAACATTCACTGATCTGCTGGTTCTTTTTTTTTTTTTTTCTTTGAGACAGAGTCTATGTCCCCCTCGGTAGAGTGCTGTGGCATCACAGCTCACAGCAACCTCTAACTCTTGGGCTTAAGTGATCCTCTTGCCTCAGCCTCCTAAATAGCTGGGACTACAGGCACCTGCCACAACACCAGCTATTTTTTTGTTGCAGTTGTAATTCTTGTTTAGCTGGCCTGGGCTGGGTTCAAACCCACCACCTTTGGTATATGTGGCTGGTGCCCTCACCACTGTGTATGGGCACCGAGCCAGATCCACTGATTCTACTGTAGAAGACAAACTTTTTTGTCACATCAATACCCCCAAAGCCCTGCTCACCTCAGAGATTAGGCTGTTCCTGACCTCTATACTCACTTTGTCTTAGAAGATTCTTTGTGGGAGGAAGAGGAGGATGATGAAGAGGACTGTGATTTGGTTTCCTTCTCCAGTTTGATTTTTTTGTTATTATCATAGTCTTTTTCTGCTTCACCCTATTATTATAACAAAGCAAATTGTTACAAACATAATTGTACAGCCCCAAAAAAGAAAGAACATACAGAAAAGGCAAAGAGGGTTATCTAACTTTCAGAGCTATCTCGGCACACACAGCAACTGTATTAGTGCTTATGCTGTGTGCATGGGGGGGAGTCTGGGAGCACAAGTGTGTGAGATGAGGGAGGACAGCGACAGACTGTGATGTACTTTCTACTGAGACATTTTTGCCTAAAGAAAGACTGTTCCTCCTACCTAGGAAGATATCTAAAGTAATAGCTGACTACAATAAAAATAATTAGACTTCAAAACTTCTCATTGATTTTTTTCTAAATATAAAAATCAATAGAACATGCATATTCATATCAAGTAACATACAGACGATTTTTAGGAGATTCTCCCCCCTTTTATCTAGAGAACCATCACTTACATCCATTAATTTATTATTTGTATGAAATTCAGAGTGAACTACTTGAAGCTTGTCTTCTAACGAAAAATAAGTACATTGTTAAAAAAGAAACAGGCTACAAAATCCTCTGTATATCCTACAGAAAGGACTACAAAGATATATGATGACCCCCCCCTAAAAAAAAATTTGCTCTGGGATTCTGGACATTATTTGTTTGCATCCATGGATTTGATTTTCTTTCTGTTATTTATTTATTTATCTGAGAGTGTGTCTCACTCTGTCATCCAGGCTACAGGGCAGGAGCAGCAGCAGAGCTTACTGCAGCCTCAAATTCCTGGGCTCAGGGATCCTCCTGCCTCAGCCTCCTGAGTAGCTGGGATTACAGGCCTGCACCATCATGCCTGGCTAATCGTTTTATTTTGGGGTAGAGAGGAGTCTCACAGGTTGCTTAGGCTGGCCTAGAATCCCAGCTTCAAGCAATCCTGCCACTTCTTTTTTCAGTATTGTTTTTATCTCTCTATATATGGCTTTATTTTTCAAACAATGTGAGAGCAAGGACAAGGAAGGGAATTTGTAACTACAGAATAAAAGAGTGCTTCCCCAGAAGCACCCATTTATCCCAACCAAGGTACAAATAAATACATTCAGTCATTGAAAGAAGTCTTCCTGGCAGAAGTCTTTTCCACGTTCTTGTGCCTCACTTGCCAACAGGTACCTCAGCTGTACAGGAAGTCCCGCCCACAGACTTCACGGCAGCCTCCTTCCCACGGGTCTGGGTTCAGGAAGGAGGAGCCCACACACTGTCTGGCAAGTGGCAGGTGAGTGACAGGTGGGAGTCCTTCAATTAATTCTCATGTGCGTTTAGAACAAAAGTCCCCAAGTGTCAGGTCACCAAGTTGGGAATCTGGGACATCACCCATCAATTTAGGACAATCTAACATGCCTAAAATCTTCCCTTAAGCTGTTTAAAAAAATCCTTTAAGTTAACTGTGGGAAAGCTTCCTCTTCTAAATTTCTCCAAGAAAAGTCAGTAAATTAAGATGTGCAGGGACAAGGCCTGCTCAGACACCCACCAGCAACCTGGCCCCCTACACAGCAATGGAAACAAAACACCTTCCCTCCCTTCTCCTGGGGTCCTGCCAAGCCATGTGCCTGCCGGGTGCCTCCCTCCAGCCCTTCCTGGACTCTTTGAGAAAAACACCTTTATTCATTTACGCATTGTCTTCTTTCAAAGAGCTCATGCAAGGTGGCATACAGAGATACTGGCTTTGAATCTTGTGGTGTGCACAGAAGTGATAACAGTAAGAAGGGGAAATACGGGAGGAGGAGAAGGTGAAGCTAAGGCTTGGCCCTCGGTTCTCACGGCCCTGCACACACCCATCGGGCAACCACAGCCATGGCCAGGGAGCACCTGAACTCACAGGCTACAAAATCCTCTGTATCCTACAGAAATGACTACAAAGATCTATAATGAAGTCAAAAGCGACTTCAAAGATAGTGCAAGAAAGGGGATGTCATAATTTTTATATTGTGTAAATGTCTCTTATTGATAGATGTACATATTCTTGAGTTAATTAAATGCTGAAATTATTATTTTTCTTCTTTTGTAGCCATCTTTCTGTAGAATACTGTATTTTAGATGTATTGGATGAAACAGTTATTAAAATCATTTAAAATAATAATATATTAAATTTTTAAAGACAAATTATTTTATTTTTATTAGTTTTCTTCTCCACTTTTCCCCCTTTCATAGTTTTTTAACATGGCTACCAGAAAATTTTAAGTTACATACATAGCTTACGTTATACAGGGTGGCCATAAAGTTCATGTGCAATTTTAAATCGCACGCTAGTTTAAATTGCACACAAACTTTGTGGCCACTCTGTATTTCTACTGGACAGCACGGTTCCAGTGTTTGCTAGAAGTGATCTACAAACTGGGCTCTGAAGTTCTGATGAGCCCACGCAAAGAAGAAATTATCCTCTGGTTAGAAAAAAATAAGTTACTCATTACAGAAGTTGGAGAAAATGTATCTTGAGGAACCAAATAAGGAGACGATATCCGAGGCGAGCAAGTGCATTCTAAACGGGACTTCCACCTGGCTGTTTGTCCTGGGAGCTTGGCCCAGGAGCACAGTCCCGGAGGGGTCGGCACAGGCTCGGAGATGCTGCCGGGGCACGGCAACAGGGCTCTGCACAGCACACAGACCTCTGCTCAATGATTCTCAGCAGGAGCACTTGAGAGAAAGTCAATGGTGGTAAGAGAAAACGAATCAATCAGAAACTATGAGGTCGAAGTAAAATGTGACCACTAGCACTGGCAACCGCCTTGTCAACCGGACACCTAATGGTGCCCCGGGCACCCTGTCACAAGGCCCACTGACTTCTCTTGAATTTTAGATGACAGGCCGTGTAGCAAGTCTATTAACATTTTAAGAAGATGGGAAATTTATCTTTGAGAAAAGTCAAAATTGGCTAAAATATCCAGATGAATTTTAACTTGCATGTGAGGTAGGTAGTAAGACATACTTTTTTGTTGTTGTTGTAGTTTTGATGGCTAGGAAAAAAGCATACTTTTAAAAATGGAAATTATTTCCAGGCAGTCAATGACACACAGAGGTCCCCAAGGCAAAACTAAGTGTAAACCACCCACTAGGCTGCTTCTTAAAGAAAACACCAAAGTCCAGAAGTGGAATGAGTTGATGTTTGTGTATTTTCATTTCCCTTAGGACATGGCAGTTGTGACTGTAAACCAAAGCGTCCAGACCTTATAAACCACACCTGAAAATACTAGTCACAGTGAGTCAATCTTCACAAACTGGTTATAGCACTGGCCGTGCCAATCGGTGACTCAAGGGAACAGCCGACAAAGAAGAAACGCTGGCTTCCACGCCAGCACTTAACAGCTCTGTTGGCACCTCCTGGCATAATTTGCTTTAGACCGATATTTAGCAAGTGAGAAGCTGATTAACAGTCTGTAAACTAGGAGAAACAACGCCATTCAACTAAATAAAGCAAAAATCCCCTCTGCTGATCCTGCTTAACTGCAGAGATCGAGGCTGTGGGCCTGAAGTTAGGATTTCTTTGTACACTGTGCACTGGGAACTCTGTCGCCTCTGCCTGGCACCCAGAGGTTCTCCTCAGCAGGCACTCCATGAGGACTTGTCAGCTGGCACAGAAAGAAGCTCAGCAGCTCAGGGGCACAGCTATGATTCCTCAAAGCAGGACTGCGTAACTTTAAGTGGACGGTTTTAGAAAAGGGTTATTGGAGTGGGGGCCACATAATGCAGGGTGCTAGGAAATGCAGACCAGCAGGCCAGGAGCCAGACTGCTGAGAAGCAGGAGGCACGGCATGCTTTAGGGTTTTCTGGGTCAAAAAGTCATCCGAAGGGCAGATTAGAGTGACACACTCTCCCCTGGCCCTGTGGTTTATCCCCAGATCACCCCCATTTCAGGGAATCCAGTTTAAGGTCTGGGCTTCAGAAATTCCCTTTCTCCACAAGGCTAAGTGTCTCCAGGGTGGTGCCTGCACTTACCACAAAAGGAGGCTGCTGGCTCACGGGCTGGTCCTAACTGACTTGTTTGCTTTTCTTAACCTGTTGGGTCAGGCAGCCCCAGATTAACTGCCAAATGCTGCTCCGCCCACAGAATGGAGCAAAAGGGCAAGTACCAAGGCCATAAAAGGAAGAGATGGGCCCCGCACTGGGCCAAGTCATGTCTGAGAGACACCGTGGGGGCAGCCTGGTGCCTGCCGGCAGCTGGCTCACGAGTAGGGACTTGTAGGTGGCAGGGAAAATGATGGCAGCTTTTTCCAGAACTGACACTTCATGCTACAGAGGTTTCTAACAGGTGGAAAGATGCGGTCTATCTCCGTAGACTCGGCTGTAAGGAGCCTGGCTGGGAGAGGGGCAGATGGGAGTGCCTGACAGAGCAGGGGAAATGAGGGAGGACGGTGGGGAGCCCTGGAGGAAGCCAGCCAGTGCACCAACCCTGCACCACTCTCAAGAGCCCTTCCAGCAGACACCGGATGCAGAAACACACAAGGAAAAGAGAGAGACCCCTGGGCTGGGAGGAGGCAGCGCCAGGCTGCAGACCTACCTTTCCCACGCAGCCAGGAGACACTAGTGCCTTTCCAGATCTCCTGGAGCAAAGGTAGTGGTGGACCAAGTGGGGGCTAAGGCCCTTTCAGCACTCACATTCTGACTCTATCATCTTCTCCCAGAGGGACGCCAAGGAGCTTGGGGGCTCATGCAGCACAGAAAACTAGAGAAGCAGCAGGTCAGGCCCTGCCCTGCAACTCACCTTCTTCTTTAAGAAAAAGATACAAAGGGACGCAAGCTCACACCAAGAATAGGCGCAGGGACACCCTGAGAAGACAGGTTACTTACTGGGACACTGTACTACAGAAACGAATACACTGTTCTTCTCTTTGGGGAAGGGATGCACATGGACTCCACACAGCCTCGGCTAACACGGGCGTATGTTTGTGATACTGTTCTTAGGGTAACTGGTAACTACCAGACATGAAGAAATTACATAGAAGTAGTTCCAGGAAATTATAAGTGTTGATTTTTCAAACCCTTGATTTTGAAGGATAATAACTAGGGGGTGTTGATCTGGAGAAATAACCCAAGGGAGAAAACCAGTCAGATCTCAGAAGGACTGAACCAACCATTCTAAGCAATAAAAAAAACACACATTTTCCTACCACATTCTAGAACTTGCCTTCCTTACTCCTTGAAACACACATACGGGATGGCACTGAAATTTATCTCCTACAGATGTTAAAGTGCTTGGTCAGAAAGCAATCATAAAGAAAAAGGAAAAGACGGGCTTGAACGGAAGGACCTCCTTTCGCAGCTGTCTGACTATTAAGACACACAAGCCATTTCCTTGAAAGGCATCTGGAAGATGACAAACGCAGCAGTTGTCACCTGCCAGAGGGCCCACAACCCGAAGCTCACACAGCCTTCTATGCACAGGAGATGCATTTGTAGAACATTCACAATTGCACTGGCCTGATCACCTTACTGTACAGTGTGATTCTTGACTTCAATATTTCTTCCAAGTCTAAAAACCCTAGGCTTGCTTAGAATTACATAAAAAATACATAAGTTGGCATTTTAAAAATCTAAACTGTAATCAGACTGCTGAAGTTCAGTAGCGCCTGCATGGAGCACTATGTGAGTGCATGTCTACGTACCCTGACAATCCTCTCCACTTTTCCTCATGAACCTCTCCTTACCCACACCTTGAAAGTGGTGAAAAAATATGGATCCACTTCTATAGGTGTGACACCTGATGGCTTCATCCCAGCGGTTAGCTGCCAGTAACTCTGTGATCATCCCTACACACTTCTTAAAGTCTAAAATGGCTTCAAGGATCTATAAAACTCCTGAAAATGTTTGCTAAATTTGGTGCCATGAGAGGGACAGACTCTAAGGGGCCTTTAAATAAAAACACTACATTCCACTAATGTGAAGGATCAGGAACATTCTTCAGTTGCCCTGACTACATCCTCAGAGAGCTTTCACTTAAAAAGAAGAAAAGGAAAAAGTCTTCACTATCTAAATTTAAGAAAAAGCACCCAGGCCTGATAGCCCTGCCTCTGTCACAGGGGGTCAGACTCACATGCAGCCTGGCACGGGCTGCCAGGGAGCCCCCACCATGCGCTGGTGAGGAAAGGGGAGATGGCGTCCAGTGCCTCCTACCCCACCTGGAATTCAGTGAAAGTTTAAAAAAAAAAAAATGCAAAGGTCACATTATTCTCTGATGATGAAATAAGTATGCAGTTGACTGGTTTTTACATTTATTTATCTGAAAGCTTCTAAGTAATGTCTCTAACTAATAGCCGACTTCAGGAAAGGAATTCTGGCTGCCTACATCAATGACGTCTGAACACTACACACCTGAGGAATTTTTCAATCCAAAGAGCCAGTTTTGCACGGTCTTGAGCCCTGTAGTAAGGCTCTGCTTCAGTAGTTCCCCACTCTGATACACACCAGGATTATAGGAGGAATTTAAAAAATACCAGTGGAGGATGGGAACCAAGCCTTTCCCCCTCCAGTTGGAGCTAAAGGCTGCCCAGGTGACTACTATGGGTAGCCAGGGTTTGGAGCTAAACAGGCGGATATCAGTCCAGCCAGTACTGCAAAGAGGTGACTATTCCCTGGGCCTGATCTCTCAGCTGCTTGCCAGAGCTTTAAAGAAATCACGCACTCCATGAAAAGTAGGGATCAGTGTTTCTGCACGCTCCACACAGGAAGATAAGTGAGCTGCCCTGGAGGCATCCCTGCCAAGAGTGGGAATCGCCTGTGGGGGTGTCGTTCTGATGGTCCATAGGCAATTCCCTTTCTAGCAACACTTCTAGATTTGCTGGGGGCATGAACAGGGCTGAGAACTCTCTGAGGGGATCCTCAAATTTTTAGCATTTCCGACCGGAAGGTAAACACTTTAAAAGCAAATACTTTGGCTTGGCGCCTGTAGCACGGTGGTTATAGAGCCAGCCACATACACCTGGCCCCAGCCAGCTAAACAACAATGACAACCGCAACAACAACAAAAAATAGCTGGGCATTGTGGTGGGAGCCTGTAGTCCCAGCTACTTGGGAGGCTGAGGCAAGAGAATCACTTAAGCCCAAGGGTTTGAGGTTACTGTGAGCTGTGACACCATGGCACTCTACCCAGGGAGACATAGTGAGGCTCTGTCTCAAAAAAAAAGTAAACACTTCTCCCTACTCTAGCTAATGCAGATGGTTACTGAGCACCAGAGACCATACAGGACCACAGGGCTGGGAGATCCAGGTGACAGAAGATTTTCAGGGGGTGGGACGGGATGGGGGATTGAGGGTCTCTTGAAGCTGTCTCAGGTATAACAGATGAAGATATCTTTTTCCTTATCGGGTCCAGTAATTTCCTCCACAAAGTTTGGATCTTCCAGAAACATTCCCACCTAAAAAACCTTAAGGTTTCTGGAGTGAAAATATGCCTTTTTCTACCTGCAATAGCACCAGCCATCCGCACACGGCCAGGCCTCAGCCCACCCTCCCCGCCCACCGTAGGTACAGTGGCAGCGCACACCCTCCCATCTCATGCAACATGGTTCTGAGAATAGTCGCCCCTCACTACTCGGTAAAGTCGTGTTATATTTTTAACCTAGTGGATTAATCAGTTGAATCTCAGACACGACAGCAGGCTTCATGATCTTTTTTTCCTTTGTTATTCTTAGCTCAGCTTCCAGAGCTGAGAAAGAAGATTTTCATGTACTTATAAGTGTGTTAAAAATTTTATTCCTTCTCAGTAGGAGGGGGTGGCCCTTCTTATGCCTTTGTGTTTGGGGCAGGTTGGCTTAAATGCCCCTGGGGAAAGACTTACTCTTCTTCTTGTGAAGAAGAAAAGGACAGATCAAGAGCTCAATGATTCAGAATAAAGGACACAGACAAACATAGTGGAATGTCCAAGTAATAGAGGGTCCTAAATAATGCAGTAATTCTTTTTTACTGTGTCAATTCTACAGCAAATGAAATTTCCAAAAATTAAAGGCCCAGTTGCTCACTATTTAGCAGTGTAGCCATACCAGCCCATATTACTCAACAAGATACTCTATCACATGTGTAATGATTCTAATGCATGTTATATGACCATGAGTTAAAATATAGATGTGATATTGGTATTAAAGATCACACCGTAAGACTAAAACCTGTACAAGGCAGTACTTTCAATAATCCAAATACTAATTAAAATTTCAGTTCAGGTGAGAACTTAATTTTTAGAGCAAATCTTAATAGGCCATCAGAATAAAAATGTATTTTAAAATGCTACCTTACCCTAAAAGAAGCCATAATTTTAGAACAAGACTGACGACAGAATGCAACATGGGTTAATGCCTGTCTGCAGAATGAGACACATCCAAAGTCCAGAGAAAGCATGACTCTGGGAGAGGGAATAAAGGCTACATGTAATCAAAGCCAGTTTCCAGCCTCTTCTAAGACAACTCAGAGTTGGGTTGGAATCAAGGGTGGACCAAAGCCACCACCATGCCAGCAGCAGGGACTTCCACACTGCAATGGGAGGCCAGTCTCTCCACACTCACCTTTCTCTTTTTGGCCAACTTGTTTGAGTTGTCCGAGCTTTTCTTTTGAGACTCCTGCTTCTTCCCTGTCGGGGGCTGTTTATCTTCTGGTTTCTTTTGGCGGGTCCCCTTCCCAGGTGGCTGGGGTACCCGAGATAGAAGGTCTAGGGCTATCTTCACCATCAAGCTTTGCGGGGGAGGAGTGTCCCTGAGCGGTGAGAGCAACTTGGCGTCTCTCGAAGGCAACACGAGTTTGTCTTTGCGGCTGTCCTCCTGGACCACCACCGCTTGGCGGCAGCCACTAGTCCTGCTGCCGCCGCCGTGGGATGGGCCCTGGCTCTGAGTCAGGGGCACAAGAGCAAAGTGCTCAGGGCTCCTGTCCTCCACATTGTCTTTCGTGGGCTCTGGGCCAGAGAGTGCCTTGGCGGGGGCTGGGAGGGAGCTCTTGTGCTTCTTCTTTTCACTGGAGGTGGGTGCTGCTGGCTTCGGCTCTCGGCTTCCTCCAGCTCGGGGCCTGCCTTTCGTCTTCACCTTGGGCTTGTCTTTGGAAGTCTGCTCTTTTGAGCCATAGG